TGATACGTGAGAGCGTTTAAAACTCTGGAGAATGAAATACCCCAGTCCACGGAGGGATTTAGACGGCGGAATTCTCCTTGGTAAATGTTCTTCAGTTGAAGCACAGGCATGTCTTCCTTACGACCGTTGTCCTCCAAAAACTTCACAAACGCTTGGGCAACAGTTTTCTCCTGCTCTACAGATCTGCTCGACCTTGGGCGGCTAAACATATTGGACAGGTCTACAATAGAAATGATCAAATCTTTTGAAATGAAAAAGCTTTACAGTTGCGATTTACACTTATATTTAATGGTCTTTATCCAAATTAAAGTGAAGAGAGAAACATGATCTGCGCAACAAGGTGCAAGGAAACTAAGAAGGCTAAATGAAAATAACCACGACTCCGCATAGGCATGCATGGTTCGTGATTTGCAAAAGGAATTACAGAAAAAGAAGAGAGAAGCAAATTCAGTATTACGATCCGCTATTAACCCCCAAATGGTCCGTTGTTTTCCTCTAATTCGTTGGCCAAAATGGATCGATACCTCAGCGAAATCAGGCTAGAAATGAGGGTTCTCAAAATCCTTAATATTCATCTTATTTTCGTTTCTCACCGTGCTTTCAAGACAATATTAGAAACTGCCATCTGAAGAAGCACCAATTGTTGAACGCAGAATGTTTGTAATTCTGGATGTTGTTATTTGGATCCCAAAATGAAAGCAGCGATCAACAAACCTAAATCAAACTGCTCACCAAGAATAATTATGCGGCTTTGCATAACCAGTGTGTGTATGGTTTATTAAATACCGTGAGAAATTTCAGAACCTCTTGAGGCCTGCAATCTTTAGTGGACACAATATAAGATAGTCGACTACATTCTCCTGTGTTGGAAAAATATTATCTACGACCCAGTTAAACGGAAGTGAAGAACCTTCGCATCTGAGCTGTAGCACTTTCAATTTCTATACTTTGACATCGATAGCATTAGCAAACCCTGAAACTCCTTAGGATTTCACTATAAGCTTACTGCACCCCGAGTCAAATCTATGTACCGCTCACAAATTTCAGTAACTAGGTGAAACATTGCATTAGCTTGTATCTCTCCGAGAAAGAATTCTCGGAAAACTACACCGATGATGTAATTTCTAAGTAACGAGCAAAATATGTTCATCGAACAATCGATCGGCCAATGCACCTATGGAGCTGAAAATTTAGAGTAGGATTTCTCACGACCGAAGGTTCTACGTGAGCCCACAAAAAACTTTATTATTATTACACGTTACAGACTGAAATAAGTACTAGTTGAAAATTTGAAATTCTTATTGAGCATCAAGCCAGCAACACAGGCCGGGATCGCACTTATTATTCAAACAAATTAAGAAACATAATTGCAAAATTACTAAATTCCTTGCTTTTAGAACTCACCTTTGAGCAATAAATGCCTTCGGTTTCTTCCTTTGAATATTACGAGAAGCAAATACAAGTTTATACAGTTTTCCTGCTGATTTGTTCGATTTCTCAGTATCACAGGACCATGACGTCAGATTTCCGAGAAT